TATTATTATTACAGTATACTAGTATTACTCCACAGTATATTGTGTATCATTGAATGTTTTTTAAAGTAAATATTTATCAACATTAGTATATTTGGATTTTACATCACCTTTTTTACTATCAATTAAATCTGTGATTTTTATAGTGTTCTTTTCACTTGTTTTTGTATGTGAACCCACCATGTATATCAATTATAAATTATTATTATTACAGTATACTAGTATTACTCCACAGTATATTGTGTATCATTGAATGTTTTTTAAAGTAAATATTTATCAACATTAGTATATTTGGATTTTACATCACATTTTTTACTATCAATTAAATCAGTGATTTTTATACTTCTTTTTACTTGTTTTTATATGTGAACCCGCCGTGTATGAGCATGTGCCACTGATATAAATAAATTATAAATTATTAAATTGATAAATTATTATTATATTACTCTACAGTATTTTGTCTCAGTTCGTATCATTGAATGTTTATTAAAGTATATTTGGATTTTACATCACCTATTTTACTATCAGTTAAATCTGTGATTTTTATAGTGTTCTTTTTACTTGCTTTGTACGTGAAACCACCATGTATGAGTGTGTGCCACCGATATAAATTATTAAATTAATAAATTATTATATTACAGTAATCTACAGTATTTTGTTAAAATGTGGTCGTAAATTTGGGAAAATACATTGACTTTGTTTCCTTCTTTGTAAAACCTACTTCAGTACTGTAGTTCCAGTAGAATATTATAGTAATAAACCTGCTTAGAGAATCCAATGTGATTTTAGTGTTTTGAAGAAATGCTTATTTATTCATTAATCTTGAAAGATTATTCGTAACCTAGTTGGTTAGTTTTTTTTTGTGTTTAATGATCTTCGTTGCTAAGCCATTAAAGATGGACATTGAGATTGTTTGTTTTTTACTCGTACATTGTGTCCAAACTAAAGGTTTCTTTTCTTGAAAAGACAATAAATATATAATCTTGTATCTCAAAAAAGCATTTTTCTTTCATGTAAAAAATTTATTCACAAGCTTAATCATAAATATTGGGTTAATTTTAATATGAATTTACAACATACAGTAATTACATAGTTCTGTTTGTACAAGTTAAAAACAGTTTTTAAACCAATTTTAGATATATTGTATATACCAAACATGGGATAACAACATTTTATATCATCTATTGTTTATACCAACTAAGGGATGACAACACATTTTAAATCATTTGATATACCAATTTAATAAAATTAAATACATTGTAAATTTATTTTGTTTACAACATTCCTAGGATAACACAATTTTAAAATCATTTGTTTTCATTAATCATCACATAACAAAAAGTTTAAATATTTGCTTACATGAGTCACCAACAACCGATTATAAGATACAAACATTTTAAATGGAATAAGAATTGATTATGCTAAATTTAAAAGCAAGCTTATATCAGAATGACAAACTTTGAAATACAGCACTTAATATTACTAAACCAACATGGTGAGGAGTGGGGTAGGTAACACCTATACTTAATACATGTCTTCTGTAGAATAGCTAAGATTTATAATTATAATAATATCAATGGCTAAAAAACAAGTTTCCTACATAGCATATTTGGTATAGAACACATGCATACAGAGTACAGGTGTACTTGGCAATATTTTAATAAAAATGTATACAATAACTGAACAATAATCTATACTTTGGGGTCTCATTTTGATCAATGCAACCATTATAATATATAGCACCATTGAGTAACAATTTATTACCTTAATTATAAATTGATTCATTATGTACACCTAAACTTATTAACACAATTACATTTATATTTGTTTGTACTGTCTTAGTACCTATTAATTATAAATTAGATGGAACAATAGATGCCTTAATATGCTTAAATGTTGTGAACATGGTCCTCACAAACATCACAAGTTCACCATATTGTATCATAAAATGTGGTGGGGTCCAGTTCCTATAGCAACATTCCACTATTCTCTTCATCATAGCATAGTCATACGTAAAATTACTGAGTGCCATGTAGTTGTTACAATGTTGTTGCTGAACTGATGAAAAATGCTGGGAAGCAGAATTTCATGGAGTTATCGATATTGTGTTGATAGGGGAGAAATGTATTGTTGAAAATAATCATATTATATTCATATTTAAATTTTACAGTAAGTACTTAAAATCGGCCAGAAAAATTATTTATTTTTAAGCAGTGTTGCGCTGGTCGAATGAAAATCTTTGGCAGGCCGGAGTTGGCCGGTAGGCCAACGGTTGAATATGGGCGTATAGACGATGTTGATGATCAATGCTGAGAGTTCTATACCGCTGTCAGCATCATGTTCATAATTGAATTTTCATCTTCATAAAACTGATTCTATGGCAACATCATGAAGTCGTTCATTGCTAATACCAACACTGTTTAAGCTGCTTGTGTCACTGTCGCAGCTCTGTGGTCCGGAATAGTTAGCTGCTTCTTGCAGTTGCATTAACATAGTCAACTAGAAAGATAATAAGAAAATGTTACCAGTGGCAATAATAAATAAATTATTACAATGCCAGTGTGCAAAGCAGCTATATGTAAAGAAAAAAAACTATATTTAACTACATCAACAAAATCAGAAGTAGATTGTAGAAATAAAGAAATTAACTGTAACATCTAGGTTTGCTGAAAGAAAAATGATCTAATACTAAAACAAAATATCACAATATGTAAGGCAAAGCAATAAAACTAGAAATTAAAATATAAATCCATAATACAGTATTTAACGCCATTCATTAGAACAACAATACAAATAGAGATCTTAGGTAGCAGGATTTAAAAAAAAAAAAAACTTTGTCACATGTAATAATGACCTTTAAGAATGATCTTGGGAATGTCTGTTGAAATAGACATGCTCAATCACAACATGCAATGCTCATCCAATGATGTACAGACACACAACACAGACCTACCTAGACCCCCTCACTGCCTGGTGGGCTTGAGTAGCCCGATGCCTGTTGCAAATGCATAATCATACTTAACTGTTGTGATGAAAGCGAAAAAGGAGAAAAACCAGTGGACAAATGTTAGATATGCTACCACTGGAAACGTAGATCAGAAGGTAGCCCTCTATACTTTACTAAAAAAAAGATTCAAGGCCTGAAGAAAGATGCAACATTCACCCCTTCCAACAACAATAATAGTTATTATTTTTAATCCAGATCTGGAAGCCATGCAATTATATCATCATTGTCATTGACATCCATGCTCATTACCAATGTAGATGTATATACAGACATCCAGGACAGATTGAATCTCTGTATCAAGCAATATTAATTATAATTAGCAACAGCATTCTCTATTTTATAAGTTTTATATTTGGGAATTTTGGTACAAATATACTAATTTTTGCAATGTTTAGAATTGCAAACATTAGGAAACTGCAAATTGTTAACATTAATTTCAACAGTATGAACACCTTATAATGTGGACAAACATATTTTGATCTACAACCTAGAATATTTAAATTTACAACTGAGGCAAAATAAAAATGGGAAAAAGACCTACCAGTGGGTCACCTTCAACATCACTTTGAGTTCCTTGGGATCCTTTAGTTCCAATGTGCTCTCTATACCCATCAAAACCAACATCTTCAGGTCGTAGACGCAATAAAGATGGCCATTCCTGACTACTATTAGGAGTCCATGGATAACTATCAACAACCCACTCAGAGGGATCATCCCATGATGCTTTGCGACCATACAGCTATAAAATGAGAAAGAATTACATGGTAAACCAAGAATCCTATGCATCTGTAAGGATATATTTTGTATTTATATTTCTATAGATGTATAGATAACATGCACACAAATTCTGCTTTGATATTAACAGCAGCAGCATGGATAATATACAGTAATTTAAAATGTCAATTTCCCATAACAACACATCAGTAAAATATACACTCAATATTCAACAAAAACAAATTTAAGTGTTGTTTTTTTTTTTGCTATATAATCTTGAAATAATTTCATATATATCTTATAATAACGTCGCCAGTCTAATTCAGAAAGCAAAACGTAGTATGCAAGTAAGAATTTATATTTTTGTTTAATTTTAAAAAGAAACAAAATCACAAAAAATTTTTCAAAACTATCAAACTTTTGAATTACCTGTAGTCCTTCCCTGACAGCCTCCAACAAGTATGGGACAATTGAGTAATTCCAGAGATCTGTGAACCATACTTGAGATCCAGGGATGTCTACCGGGCAGGACAGGAAAAGCCTTGGTCCAATTGTCACGTCGGATGAGCTGTGTGTCTCAAGAAACTTATTCAAATGTATCCAGACTTTTGGGATCCAATCAAGAATCCGAATGAGATCATTGTTGTGCATATTCTTGCCAACTTCATTCTCTACCAATTTCCTTCTGAGGTAGCGGCCGAGGAAGCCCTTTACAGGTTCCATGTGATTTGCACAGAGCACCCACCTGTCAATTAGAATTTAGGACATCATGACCTAATGTTTGATGATGACTTAATATAAAAATTTATACCATTCCCAGCATGGACTAGATTAATATTAATCTTGAATGTTATTTTTATGAAGGAAAAAGGATTAATACCTGAAATTATGGTGAAGTTGCAGGTTGGTAGTTGAGCAGCTAGCTTGACTCATTGTACCAATAATGTATGGACAACGTTGGTATTTGTAGCTGAGGAACCCATTGAAGACATCACTCAATGATGTCACATGATGCAAGTTATCAAGTATAACGACTTTGGCAATATCAGGTGAACTGAAAAGGAGCAAACATTGATTACCTTACAGAATTAAGTGCTACATTGCTTAATGAAAATAAAAATTATAAATAAAAATTCTATTTTACAGAAATATTCTACTACCACATCATAGATTATATCAAGCACAAGCGCAGTATACTAGAAAATGAAATGGGACGACTTACTCAGATTCACACTGTTCAGCTAAGTTGGTCAGGTATTGACGTAGTTCTTTGCTGGTCTTGTGGTCTACATTATACACTGCAATACTGCTATCTGTCACCTCTTTCCCAGACCTATACAATAAAAAATAGCATAACAACTGTATTTAAAGATGTACTGTATGTTGAAAAATTACTTCATTTTCACTTTTCTGTTGTGAGACCAGTTTTCAAAACTTTATAAATATAAATAAGTTATAAAGTTACAAATAAAAATTTGAATAAGAAAAAAAAAACCACAATCAATTAACATCCAGTTAAATAACACATTTCCTATTTTCTTTTACGTGGGCCCTTAAATTGGCTGGTAATCAATTTAAGAAAAGTAAATAGTAAATTGTCTGTAAATCAGGGAAAACTATTTTTTGCAATGTGTATCTAGATGGCAGTTAAAAAATTATTTTATTTAACAGTAAGCTATTTACAATTTTAATTTAATTTTTGAGATTTTTTTCTGATATTTTTGGCAGACAGCGCATCTTTAATCAATCATATTATGCATAGTCAACATAGAGTGTGGGGATATTGTGTATGTACCAATGACATAACAAAAATAAATAAGGACAGATGATGATTACAATGATGATGATGGCAGTGGTGATGATGGTGATAATGATAATCAATGATGATCAATAAATCAACTGCTCGCAGTTTGAGTTCACATGTCGATTACTGGGACAATGTCTGTGGCACCATTGACTATACAAATAATTAATCTCATAGAACAAATTAACAATAAGATGCTGCTGAAATATTGTTAACAATGATGGAATAGATTTATTGTCGAAATCTGACTAACCTTTGAACTATGTGCGCAGCAAGTTTCTGCGCAAGGAATGTCTTGCCAGTGCCACTAGGCCCACAGAGAATGATCCGCCTGTGCTCCATCAGTAGGCTGATGTATCGCTGGAGTATGGGCTTTGGAATGAGTGTCTCAAAAACCAGCGAATCTGGACTGCTCTGCATAACACCTTTGAGTTGGATGGTTATAGATGTATTGTCACCAACCAAGTAACCGCAAGGTAGAAGCATAGGGGGATCAGAGTCTTTGGTCCTGGTGATCTCTCCAACAATGTAGCTGTGAATACTCTCAGTACTGAGGCCTAAATTGGTAGCAGGATCTATCCTCAATATATATTCCTAAAAGAAAAATTTGTATTCATACGCAATTAGTAAAATTATTAAAGAATTTCATCTTCAGCGGTGCTTTGTCGGCTATCGCTAAAAGTCATTCCATAAAACCCCTCCATTTTAGCCAGATTTATTATAGAGGATTACATGGCCATCTTATCCAAGAAGGCCAGATAATATTCAAGGCTGTCTTGAATAATAAATTAATCAAATAAAATAATACTTTATAAACTATTTTTTAAGTCTCATTCCAAAGGTTTGAGAGTAGAGATGTAGCATTTTTGTGAGATAAAAAACATCCTAGGGTGTCACAGAATTTGAAACCAAGATCCTAGGATTTAGAAGGTATGCATTGGGATGTAAAGGTGATCCTTCAACATTTTTCTTGTGTGAGAATTACTTTTTCATTGCAGACCCGTACAGTGTATTTTGCTATATTGATTAATTGATTGAATGACAAGCTGTTAATTTACGAATTTGTCCAAAATAAAATACGTACAAGTGCTATTTTGCATAACCATTATGTTGACCCAGTTTGGAAAAGGTCTATCTAAAGGCGTGAGTAATTTTTAAAAAACAAGCTTTGGATATTTTACAGACAGCATCTTCTCATTGACAAATCATGACACATTTTAGAGACACACTCCTCAGGATTGGCTGATGCAGTATGCTCAGTTAGGAAAAAGGTGTCACCAGCTTAACTATCTATCTCTTTACAAATGAAGGCTGTCATGACCAAACATCTTTAATGTTCTAGAGGAACCCAAGAGGATTCACATTTAAATTTTTGAGAATGTTGCATTACCTTAAAGATCCTTCTGACCACACTGTCTAATGCATCCCAATTGGTCTTAGTACTAATGCCAACACTTCCTATCAATATTGTGCCATCTTGATTATTCTGAAAAATATAAATGTATAAAATTACACCAAACACCTCATCCATTAGTCTATCAATGCCTATATGCATGACCACTTGATAAATACAGTATTTGCATATAATATAATCTTGTTGCATATCTAATATCTATCAGCTTCTCTAAATGCATGTGTTACTCATCCATTTGAAAGCAACAGTAAACTTCTCTTCAGAGCAGGTGCCTAATGGCACCTCCTAAAAATGTATGTATCATTCATTACGCTAACAAAGCCCTCAGCTTCTCTCCAGAGCAAGTGTCCAAAGGTAACTTCTTAAAATGCATATGTTACTTATCTCTCTAAAAAACAGTGTCAGTTTCTCAATACCGAGTGTCACCTTTTAACTTTCAAATGGCATCTCTTCAAAATATATGCATTACTCATAACTCTGACAAAACCCTTCTAGAGCAGGTGTCCAACAGCACCTCATCAAAATGTGTGCACTGTAAACACTGTCAGCTTCTCTCAAAAGCAGGTGTCCAATGGTGCATCCTCAAAATGCATGCATTACTTATGCCTCTAACAAAACCCTCAGCTGCTCTCCAGGGCAGGTGTCCAATGGCACCTCCATATGCATGCAATAGTCATCCCTCTGTAACAGTACCTCCTCAATATGCATGCATTACTTATCCCTCTGAAAATGCTTTATTCATAAAAAAATCTTAGATACTCACAGCGGTTCAACTACACATCAGACAGCACCTACATACAAAATTTCAGCTTTCTACAAGTCATTTTATTACCAGTTTATGTGTTTACAAAGCAAACATGACCTCTGTGACCTCATTTTTCTTTTAACCCCATGATGACTATGTTTATATTGTTTATAACAACATAAACAAACATGATAGATATCAATGAAATTACAGCAAGAACACCATTTTTACCTCCGGATGTTTAGTGTCATCAAATGAACCACTTGCAACTGCAATTGTTATTCTTTGGCCATTGGTAGTAGAGCTATCATCAAGAAGAATATCTAAAATATAAATTATAGATATTGTTGGAAATAACACAATATATCAAATTACTGTAATTATAAAATAGTACATATGGTAGTAAGTATATAGTAAGTATATTTTTATGAGGGTTATTATGAGTCAACAGTAATGTTGATGTGTTATCATTTAAATATGTTAACCTGCCCTACCTGATGATTATTGTACCGAATACTCAGTACGTTCCCAAATACTTAAAATTTGCAAGTCATTCGGGTGGGGATCGAACCCACGACCTCCAGATAACTAGCCTGGCACCAGGTAGAAATGTTAGGGACTTTTAATGTACTCTAATCTAAGTTAGTCGTATTTTTTGTACATTCTCTAGAGTCCAATTATCATTTGGAAATGTCAACCGTCAATCAACTACTTCTGGATTTCATTAATAATCCACTGTATTATATAATACAAGATTATTTGGATAGGTGGGGGGGGGGAACTAATAAAGTATTTGTGTATTGCTTTAATATTATCCAATATTGTTTTCAAACAACAGGGCGCAATTACATGAACAACACTACATGTATGCATGACAAATTTGATGATGTCATTATCACAAACGCAATGGGCAACTACAAAGCTTCTTTTGTTTTACAGCATAGGAACCAATAATGTAAAATTCATAAGTGAATAATTATTATTTTAAACATTTGGTAAATAAATATATATGCCTAGCCTAAACATTTGTTTGAAAAATCTATATTATAATAACAGAAAATGACAGAATTGTAAAGCATAACTTACCAAGACTACCACTGTGATCTGATGCAAAACTGAGCCTTTGACGATCTGAAAAATAAGCAACAAATTTCAATAGCTTATATAGATTTAGAATGCTTGTAATTTATGCTTGTAATCTACATAATCTCCAAATAAAGATATCCAAGGCAATCCCTTAACACAGATATCTAGGCTAGGCATAGAGTGTCAACATTAAACAGACCAGAAATACAGGGTCCTTTTTCAAACAGATATGAGAGCAGCTTAGCTCAGTCAGCTAATCTGGTGGTAGCCACTGTGTGTGCGCTGAACCGTGGAGATCTCTAGGTCCCCGGTCAAATTCCCATTGCTGCCTCTACTTGTGTTTCAGCTAAGGGCTGAAATACATCCAATCCACTGAATAAATCCAATCCATTGAATATTAGCAGATTCACAAAGACTAAATTACTTGAAAATGGTGGCAATTCAATATTATAAGGGAATATATATCATTGAATGTTTTATAAAAAGTAATACCATGTATATATTACCATGTAATGTCATATTATCCGTATGATTTGAGACCAAAATTTAATTCAGTCAAATGAGTACAGATACTGACTACCTGACCTACCTAGTGATTCTCTGCTCAGACGTTTTGTGGACGAACTTCCAGAGCTCAGTGAAACCTGTGAAGGGCTTGTATTCAAGTTACGCCGACCTTGCATTTGGCGTGCTAACCGGTCATTCTCCTGTTTGAGTGTAGTTACTTCATTCTGTGAAAGTTTATTAAGTTAGAAACAATAACATACAAATGCAATTAAATTAATCAAAAGATTATGGACACCAAAGGAAGGAACATGAAAGTTTCAAATAAAAAAGTCATTGGAGTATAATATGATATATATTTGATTAATACGAGGCATGTTGTGGCGAAATGGTTAAGTTGTCGCACAGTACAATATTGAGTAAATGAGCTATAAAATAAGGGAGCTCAAAAAATTGCCTAAAAATCCAAATTTGTTTTTCACTATAAACAAACAGTTTAATGTTTTATTAATCATGTCCCAAAGTATCAATTCTGGAAGTGGTTAACAAATTGTTTATTTAACGTTATTTTTCATAGTTCATTCTATTAAACAATGTATGCACAAATAACTTTGAAAGGCAATTACTCAAAATCATGTTTATCTTGACTCTAAGAGTACTGTACTTTCACTTTCCAATAACATAGGCCTGAAATGTCCAATTTGAATGAATGACCCCTCATTTTAAAGACATACTCAGGTACAGTATCTGAAAATACCAATAACTTGAATTTCAATTTTTGCTACAACTTAGCCATTTTGCCACAACATGCCTCATATATGTAAGGAATTGAATAATAAATCGATACACTGTGCATTATGTGCCCACAACAAGGAAAAATTCATTAGTAATAATATATGCACTGATTGTACTAACTAATTTATCTCGCTGTAAACTAATTGTGCAAGTATTAAATATAATGTTTGCTTACACGTAGCTTTGACATCTGGTCTCTCAGCTGTTCTACCTGGTGTTGTGAATTGAGGGCTTCTAGTTTCACATCAGTTAACTTACTTTCCCGTTCCCTCAGTTGTTTCTTTAGTTGATCAATTGTTTCATTCGCCTGCTCCAGATCGAAGATCCTGCAAATCAATAAGTTCAACTTAACACACACATAATAATTGTCCCAATTGTAACGTTGCACAAATAATAAGTGCCTTCTTAATAAATCAGCCTTGTTAAACATGGCTAGTAATCAGAACAACGAATGTTCACAAAATAATAATTCACCTACCAAGTTCGAGGAGCTAAAAAGGACATGGCTGATCAAGTAATTCAGCATAGCATCATGCACCAAAGAACAGCAAGTCACTACTATTAATGATTCTATTAGAAGCCAGTACAGCCTTCAAACTAACATCATAAGTGTGGTTTCCTGTGATGTGAATCCTGCACGTGTGTATTGCTCTAGTACTTGTCAGTCATTATTGGGGAGACATGACATATGTTGGATGTATCAGAAAAAACATAATGCAAGATTCATGGTAATAATGCTAACTGTAAACCCAGACAATATCAATTTCCTGGCCCCATGTTTTCTGCCTTTTTAAACATTTGCAGATTAACGTGGAAGTCATTCAGCAAAAGTTTTTCCTATTTCCGACAATATGATAGTATGACAAAAACAAAAATAAATGTAATAAAAAACTCACACAAAATAATTAGTAGAGATAGATTGCTACTTTTGATGTCCAATTCCTTACTACTGCACTACCAACTTGCAATTCAAAACTTAGGGATAGCTTACTAGTAATGATATTTAATCGTTTCGGGTATTCCTGCATTACTTCACATTTCCATAGTAAATAGAACATTTTAAAAATAACTTACGCTGGCGTTGATGCTGATGTTTTCATTCCCATGTTGTTCACAGCGGTTGTTGCACCTTCGTAGTCCTCAACGTCAGTTGTGGTACCACTTGTCTTCTTCTTCCGTGAGAATGCAGAACGGAAAGAACTACGGATCTGAGAAGTAGAAATAAACTCTAAACTTTACATATCAGTTACAAATATGTAGAGAACAAAATTAAAATGTGTACACAGACTAACTGTTTAGCAGCCGATAGGAAGTTCACAATATTCAAACACAGAAAGGAGTTCTAAAGTAGACAGTAAAAAAATTCAATATTTGTAGGTTTATTAGAACACATATACATGTTAATGGTTACACATGGTTGGTAAGCAAATTATGCTGTGCGATAATTGTATACTATATGCGTACATAAGCTTCTTATAATATTCATATGCACATATCCACTTATGCATGATATATATAATATAATATCTTTATTTTGCCAAATGAAAATCTTATCACTTGTGCAAGTGTTCTATTAGGGTATGCATAATATGCTACTATATATATATGCATGCACATTTATGTATATTATTTTCATAGATATATGTATGCATTCATGTGTATTTGTAGGTATAAGTACTAGCTATTGGTATATTTAATTTATGTCACAATTAATTTTTTTTTTTTTAAATTTAAATATTGTTTAATACTTCAATTCAGTTATAGATGTAGTCTAGATATTTAATTTTTGTTGTATAATCTCTTTTTTATTTTTATTTTTTTAAATTTTTATTTAATTTTTATTTTTTTTGACCTAATATATTCATTTTGTTGTATTACATATTATTGTTATCATAAGTAAATAAAATAATTTCACTTGATTATGTGACGTCAAATCATGTGGTGAATTAAAAACATGATGAGTGGTGTACATCGATTGTAAACAAAACAAAAGCATGAATTAGGTTTCATATTCATATCAAAACATAAGAATAAGCAAAGATATACCCATGTTAACATATATTTTAAACAACAAAGAAAATAAAAAAGAAAAGTACTGGTAGTTACAGTTTTTAAATTAGGTTCATTCGATTGATAAATAGAAAATTGTAAAGGTTAATTAAGATCATTCCTGATGATGACATAATTAATGTCGAAATATTGAATCCCAACACGATGGCGTGTATTTCAATACTTGGAGTATGTATTATACTTTCCTAATTAAGATCAATTATGTATCTATGAACCATAACCTATCTGCAAGCCTAGAAATAATTACAGTACTTATGATGGCCACACCTGTACATAGTTTATAAAAATTATAATATGCAAAGACTCAAATGTGTTTTACTTTTTAGATTATAACCTTTACAATTAACTAAATTAAATCATTTTGCAAGCAATGATACATGTCTGAAGATGAAAGGGAATGAGAAGCATGATGGGAAATTTAAGCAAAGCATTCAGGTGCTGTATATTGGCAATAACTAATAGTGCCCTCATAGTTTCCACAGACAACAACCAAACAGCCAACATCTTAACTTGGAAATATTAACCTCTGTCAATGCTTGACCAAGTCCTTTAGTCTTGCCACTAAGGTCTGGATTTGTGTCTATGGTATTTTCACTAGACGGCTGCACACAAAAATCCTTTGGCAATTTGGCAGGCAAAGTACTACAGCGGTACTCTGTCTGCTGGTGAAGCAGTTCATTGATGGAGCAGAAATAAAAGGCAACAAATTATTTTATTTGATGTGATTCCTTAATACATATATATGAAACATATACAAAAATAAACCATGAAAAAGTGCAACTTTAAGTAAAATTGAGAAGCAAAAAGACCACCAAACTTCATTCACAAAATCTATTTATACTTTCTAAAAAACATTAATTAAAAAGTAAATTACAGTAAGTAAAGAAAGGTTTTATAGCTTAAAATCAAATAATTATAGTGCTAAAAATGTCAAAGTTTACATATTTTGTAATAAGTTCTATGGAGAATATGACATTTACAAAACTGCAACAAAAATGTTATACAGTAGAAAATGTTCATAAGATATATAAGCCATGCATCATTAATATTGTAACTAATAGAGTAAATCCCAGTGTAAAAGCTGCCCCAGTGTACAAAGCTTCAATTTTAACTGTGACCTGAATTAAGCTACGTTCACATCAAGCCCGGATTACGGTCTGGAATCAGGAGCAAAAATCGTGAGAAATGGGTTCAGTGGTAAAGAATAGGACCGTTCACATCAAATTCGTACGATTTTCAATCTGGACTCCGGATCTGGACTAATGGATCTGAGAGCCATTTGTATCCTGAAATTGTAAGTTTTTTTTTCTTGGACCAATCAGCAACAAGCTTGCTTGGTTCGAACTAATCGAACGCATACATACTTAACCTGAACAACTGTGTTCCGTGCGCGATGTGGATGCAGTGTTTGAGAAACATAGCAACTCACGATTTTTTGTCCAGGCTCCTGACCGGATTCGGGCTTGATGTGAATGTAGCTATATGCAGTATCCTTTACTGTATGTCACTGGCATATAAACCAGCTTAAATGTGTTCCAAAAATATTATACATATTGTATTGGAACTCTTATTAAGCCTAGTACTGAACAATACACAACTAGAACTGTTTAGAGTTCTATGCTGAATATATGATGTTGCAGCAATGTACATGGGGGAAATCACAAACTGCTGCATGATTTTTTTTTTTTGAAAATATTGAATCATTAAAAAGCCTACCAGATCTGGAAATTTGTTTGTATTCTACTAACAACTACACCACAACAAAGCAAGCTAGTTACAAAAACGAGTTCAAAATTTAAACCCATTACTGTACTGTAAAATCTCCCAATTACGAACCTCCCAATTACAAACTCTCGATTTTACAAACTTAATTTGCGGTAATGTAATTACAAACCATCTTTTTTACTACAAACACACTCGAAGTTGTATTGAAAAGTCTTCAAAAAGTAATATAAAATGTTACATCAGCTAAAAAAGAACACATTTAAACCAATAAATTGATATAAAACTTTGCTTAAAGCAAGAAATATATATATCGTTTTAGGCTGGGATATATTCCATTTTAAGCTGTGCATGCTTGTTCAGGCCGTTACTGTACCGCAGCAATCTCACTTTTTGTTCATTGGGGGCACTATTTCAATATATTCGCAATCTTTAAGAAAGAGAATATACTCGTTTTTGCCATAATGGTCATGTTTTCTTTTGGAAATCACTTCAATTTAATCACTTTAAATTTTGGCTTCTGTATATCATTATTATTATTTGTTGTAGAAAATAATAAAATCCAAGTCATATTTTGTGACAAAAATTGGCTCCCATGGCAAGGCTTAGCCCTACCTAGCAGCCCTGTATGAAGTAGCATAGGCCTATACCCTCACCACTGAGATGCTATGAAATTTCAAAATCTCTGGATCACAAACTTCCTCATTTACAAACTCTGTTTGGATGGAGGGGTACGTAATTGTGAGATGTTACAGTAGTTCACTTTGTGAACCAGGTCACAAATAGCATAGTTAGGAATTTGTTGGGTTTTTTATTTAAAAGTTTTTAACTTGATTATAATCAATTGGTAATTAAAAGAAACCTTTGTTTGATGATTGAATACACACATAATAAAGGGTAAGTACGGTATTTCACAGTATCACCATGTGCATGTGCAACTGACCGTCCCTGCTCTCCAAGATAGATTTTATCTGAGACTTGTGGTCTAAAATTTTTCATCACAGAATGGTTACTAGTGTCATACAAACCACACCCAAAAACAAGTTAAAATTCAGTGTAAAAATTTGTAGCTTATACACTGGGATTTAAGACAGGCAAAAAAATGAAAAAAAATATATAATTAAACAAATGAGGTGGCAGAGAATTTCATGCGCACATTTACCTTTTCCCCTGTAGGAGAAGGAATCTGTAATTGGAAGGCATGAACAAGTGAAAAATGGAGATGGATAAGTAAATTGTGTTTAACAAATGTGATGTTGAAATGTTAGCATATTATGATAATAATAGTGGCAAACTTTTGAAGATTCCAAAGAGGTATACCCGATTCACACGTGAAGTTAAATTTAACAAAAAGTAACAAATTGTAACCAGCGATCTTCCGAGTTATTCCTACCGAGATAAAAAGCATTCACACACATCTGTAAGGTAGTGCCGAGGTCGTGTAAAATTTATTCAGTGTTTATTCAATGAACCATTTTTTCCCCTACTGCGATATAGGTCTAGCCTAGGTCTAGTTGAGAACCCCTGTCACAGATGGACTGTTGAACTCACCATCACAGTAAACATTCGAAGCAATCAATGCCCTTAACAACTGTTGTACTACTACTACTAAACTAGGCATAGCTTCCAACGTGTCTGTCGACTTTTGATAATACTAGTAATAGTACTAACACCATCCCGACATTCATTTTATGTATATTTT